GCCTCTTCCCCAAAGAAAAAAAACCCTATTTTGCTTTTATTTCCCCCCTTTGGGTGACGTTACGTGCAAAGGTTTGGCCCTCGCTGTCCACTTCCACGAATATTTTGTCCGAATAAGTAACTTGAGGTCTATCTTGAATCCGGGAATGGCAGCGCCAAAAGGAGGGCTGGGGGGAGATTTAATTTTCCAAACGACGCGGCCGCCCCGGTTTTGTAATTCATGCCAGACCAGGCCCTTCAAAAGCCGACTTCCTACTTCGCACCAGCACCAGCCCCATTACCGCTAATGACGGGCTTCCTCCCCGGGGGAGAGGCCGACAGCCCCTTTGAACTGTTGCGTAATCCCATTGTAGTTCACGAGCACGGCTACCTTGGAGTGTGACGCATCTGCAAAGTGTTATAATAATTCCCTCCATTATGTTCTGTTGTGTGCTGTCCCCCGGGGACGGTCAGGCCCCACGTTGTTATGTAACAGGGTAGGGATCCTTTTCTAAGACACCTCGTAAAAGCGTGTGTGCACGTGTGCGTGCGTGTGTGTGTGTGTGTGTGTGTGTGTGCGTGTGTGTGTGTGTGTGTGTGTGTGTGTGTGGAGTTTCTCCTTCCGTCCCTTTTCTCCTCCTCAGCTCTCTTCCTCTGCCGCTGCCTGCTCCTCGCCCCTTTCACCTTTGGGGCAGTGCACCTGGGAGTGCATAGTAGGTGCTGCCTAAATACTTTCAAGAAAATAAGCCCTTGCCCGGCCGGTGTGGCTCAATGGTTGAGCCTCGACCTAGGAACCAGGAGATCACGGTGCGATTCCCGGTCAGGGCACATGCCCGGGTAGCGGGCTCCATCCCCGCTAGGGGGCGTGCAGGAGGCAACCAGTCCATGATTCTCATCATTGATGTTTCCCTCTCCCTTCCTCTCTGAAATCAATAAAAAAAAAAAAAAATTTTTTTTTAAATAAGTCTTTTTTTTTTCCCATTCATAATTTTCTATTCCCAAATTTATATTCGGGCGGGGGCAGGGGGGCAGCTCTTTAATCTTAGCAATAACAATAATTACAATGGGTAGCCCTTATTACTATTTATTATTTCACCTGCTTGTCGCTCAGCGCTAGTACCAGGCGAGATGAGTCAGTGTCTGTGCCTGCGTGGATGGGGCAGTGGGATAACTATACGCCTCCCTTCATCACTGCACAGCTTTTTATTTGTGTGAATCCTCACCCGAGGATATTTTTCCATTGGTTTTTTTAGGGAAAATGGAAGGGAGGGGGAGAGGCAGAGAGAAACCTCCATGTGAGAGAGACACATCGATGGGCTGCCTCCTGCATGCACCCTGACCGGGGTCCCGGGCCGGGGATCGAGCCTGCAGCCGAGGTACGTGCCCTTGACCAGAATCGAACCCTCGACTCTTCGGTCCATGGGCTGACGCGCTATCCACTGGGCCAAACCGGCCAGGGCTGCACCTCTTTGTATACAGGGAGCGTTCTCTCCTCACTCCCTGACTCAAGCCATGCGGTGATTTCCGGAATCTGCTTTCCATCCGTCGGCCCGGGACCGGCTCCCGGCAACGGGGTTACCGGTCGCTCCCACCTTTACGGTCCGCACTGTCCTCTGAGCACCGGGCGGACAGGGCCTTCTGGCCCCTCCTCTCCTGGGAGGGAGAAGCAAACATGATTTTTTACGAGTCTCTAAAATAGGACTGTTGGAGCGTCTGTGTACTTAAAGGCGTGGATAGCTCTTCCTGTGTGCCCGGTGCTATTCTGGGCCCTTGACCCGGGTGAACTCGTGTCAGGCCTGTCAGGCCTGTGGTGCAGGTGGTGGTGTCCTCAGTGCCCAGGGGAGGACGCGGGGGGACTGGCCTGAGGCCCGGGGAGTCTGGCTGGAGACCTGATGCTTGGGGCACGACGGGGGGTGTGCCCTGTCATGAATGGTCCTTCTGCAGGCAAGGGGTCCCACAGGGTCAGGAAGGCTTTAAAAACTCAGATTCCGCCCCTGGCCAGCAGTTGAGCGTCATCCCTGCACCGAACGGTTGCTGGTTTGATTCCCAGTCGGGGTGATCAGCTTGATCCTCCAGTAGGGGGCGTGCAGGAGGCAGCCGGTCGCTGCTGTGCTCTCACATCAATGTTTCTCTCTCTCTCTCTCTCTCTCTCTCTCTCTCTCTCTCTCCTTTACTCTCTAAAAAGTCAATGAAAATGTACTTATTTTAAAAGTCCCATCCCCCCAAATATTAAACGGTCGCCAGCACACTGCTTATGGAGAAGAACAATCAGGAGCAAACGGAGTAGAACTCTCCCATAGCTACGCACAGAAAGGTGGTTTTTCCCTCGGAAAGGCCGTGCGGAGCTGACATCCGAGGGTGGCGGTGCTTCCGTAGCTGTGTCCCTTGATTGAAAGTTGCCAGCTCGCCCGGCCGGCGTGGCTCGGTGGTGAAGCATTGATCTATGAACCAGGAGGTCACGGTTCGATTCCCGGTCAGGGCCCATGCCCGGGTTGTGGGCTCGATCCCCAGGAGGGGGCGTAGAGGAGGCTGCTGATCCATGATTCTCTCTCATCATGGATGTTTCTCTCTCTCTCCCTCTCCCTTCCTCTCTGAAGTGTGTGTGTGTGTGTGTGTGTGTGTATTTTAATTTTTATTTAAGGAAGATTCCTGTGCTGGTGTACACGTGCGGGTCAAGTGTCGTAAGCACTTATTGAAAAATGGCAGCGATCGCTTATCCTCTTGCTAAACGGCAGCCCGTGCATGGCGATCCAAAGTCACCCAGCACCGCTTAGGAAACGATTTGCTCTCGACATGGGCGTGTCTTGCCATGAGCTGGCCGGTTTCTACGTTAGGGACCCGCCTATGGAGCACTCATTCACTCATTCACTCATTCACTCGTTCACTCCGCCGGCGTTTGTGGAGGGTTGTGTCACGCGCGGGGCTGACGCGGGCAGCCAGAGCGGTCCTGCCCTCGTGGGGCATGGGGTGTAGGTCGTTCACAACCTTGTTACGCCCCAGCGGAGCTCTGAGCGCGTCTGCTGGGAACCTCCCTCCTCGCCCCTGAGGATGGGAGGCGGGGAAGGCAGAAGTTTGCTGGGAGACACGTGGGGGGGGGGGGTGTCTGTGTGTCTGTGTGTCTCGTAGCCACACAGATCCAGTGCAAACCTCTGTAGATGCTCCTGCTCCTAATTTATAAATTTTTCTAGGGAATCTGTAACTTCTGTGATTTGTTTTTTTAAATATGTTTTTATTGATTTCAGAGAGGGGAGAGGGAGAGAGAGAGAAACAGCAATGATGCGAGAGAATCATGGATCGGCTGCCTCTTGCACACCCCGCATTGGGGATCGAGCCCGCAACCCGGGCATGTGCCCTGACCAGGAATCGAACCGTGACCCTCCTGGTTCATAGGTCGATCGATGATTGACCACTGAGCCACGCCAGCCGGGCTGCAGTGATTCTTTTAAAAGCCCTTACACGTATGTATTCAGTAACTCTTGGAAAACACGTGTTTCCGTGGGCCTTCCGGAACAGAGGTCTGAATTTTAAGGAGCCTTTTGTCCTCACAAAGAATTAATTTCCAACAGTGGTGATCCCTCTAGACCAGGGGTGGGCAAACTTTTTGACTCGAGGGCCACAATGGGTTCTTAAACTGGACCGGAGGGCCAGAGCAAAAGCATAGATGGAGTGTTTGTGTGAACTAATATAAATTCAAAGTAAACATCATTACGTAAAAGGGCACGGTCTTTTTTTTTTTTTAGTTTTATTCATTTCAAACGGGCTGGATCCGGCCCGTGGGCCGTAGTTTGCCCACGGCTGCTCTAGACAGACGAGTACCATTTAAGCACAGGTTCAAGTGCTAAGCAGCGCGATGGTCCTCCCCGTGTGGCCCCCCATGGTCCTCCCCGTGTGGCCCCCCATGGTCCTCCCCGTCTGGCCCCCCATGGTCCTCCCCGTGTGGCCCGTGGCCGCTGGGCTTCCCCGAGACCCTCTCAGGGCATCTGAGGTCAGAGTGATGCTCGTCCTCACCCCGAGGCGGGCGCTGCCTCGCTCACATTCCTTCTCCCCTGCGTGTGAGGGGACGTTTCCCGAGACCAGATGACGTGACCGCGTCCCGGCGGGTGGGAGGCGGCAGCGTCGGTGAGGATCCAGCCAGGCGCTCCCGAGTGCTGATAAGACCTGAACGCGTGCCATTCTCCTCGCTCCATTCTGCTCGTTTCACAGCCGTGTGGTTTCTGTTCGCACGTCATGGGTTTTCTTGCCGTTGCTTCTAAGCGAATGAAGAAGTCTTTCTAAACGTTGTCTCTCAGCTTCAGACAGGGATGTTAACCGCTCGATACAGCCCTACCCTAAACACAGGCGTTCTTTCGGGAGCTTGAGCATCTGGGAACGTAGGAAGCGGCTTTGGGACGGAGAAGTTTGAGAACCACTGAACCAGGGCTTCCGGCTCGACTTGGAGCGTGTTACCTAATCCCTCAGACAGTCGGAGTCTGTGAAATGGGCTGACGATCAAAGTCCTCCCCTCGTAAAAGGATTAAAGGAGTTCCTGTGTGTCGGGGGTTTGTAAGAATCCATGGCTCAGCGTAAGCACTCTACGTGTGTGAGCTCTCATCAGCGTTACCATTGACTATGAAAGCAGGCGAAGAGAACATATTTCCAATACAAAAGATGTTTATCTAGACTATAAAAAGCCCTAGCTGGTGTGGCTCAGTGGATAGAGCGCCGGCCTGCGGACTGAAGGGTCCCAAGTTCAATTCCAGGCAAGGGCACATGCCCGGGTTGGGGGCTCGATCCCCAGTAGGGGGTGTGCAGGAGGCAGCCGACCCACGATTCTCTCTCATTGATGTTTCTCTCTCTCTCACTCTCCCTCGCCCTTCTTCTCTGAAATCAATAAAAATATCTGTTTAAAAAATAAAATAAAAACATATTTTTTTTAAAAAAAAACAACAACAAACCAAAACACCCAGTGATTTTCAGAACCTTAAAAGCCCGCCTTAAATATTCTGCTTTGTAAACGTGTTTTCTTCTTCTCTGTCTTTCTAGGGCAGCCCCGAAACTTGCAGGACCTGTGCCGAATTAAAATCCGACAGTGTATAGGCCTTCAGAACCTAAAGCTACTTGACGACCTCCCCATTGCCAAGGTCATAAAAGACTACTTAAAACACAAATTCGACGGCATCTGACAGACACAGGCCCCCGGGCGCGGGGCCGGGCGCTCTGTCCCAGATACCCCTAAGGCCGTTCGCCTTGCACAAAGTATATCCTATGCAATTTCTGATCCGCCGAGAAGTCAGAAAGCAGGTGTACACTTTTAGATGTTTATTCTTTCTGTTTGTTTTTATTTTTTATTTTTTCGTTCGTTTGTTCAGTTGGTTTTCGTTGTACGGGAGGGGTTGTTGGTTTTTTATATATATATATCTATCTATAAACACACCACATGCTTGACGGTCTTAATTTGGTTTCTTGGTCCAGGTTTGAGAGGTCCAAGCTTTCTCCCCGATGCCGCACTCACAACAGCTTGTGGGGTGGTGGTTGTTCTCCCCCCACCCCCCACCCCCTCCCCCACCCCCAAATGTCGCGAGCAGGCTTGGAGCGGAGAATCCGCCCTTTGCCAATGTTATGGGTTCATGGGCTTGTGCATGTTACCAACCAACAGAGCACATGTTAACGTTGGGAGTCCTCGTCCCACCCGGGACGGGGTTCTGGGTTCTACTGGAAAATGCGCCTCCCCCGCCCCCCAAAATTTTGTAAGTACTCCTGTCCCCTCGTTTGTTTTTTTAATGAATACAGATCAGCTGTTTGAAATGGTTCCTTTCCTAGTTCCTGTCGCTTTCGGTGGTTTGGGGGGGGTGGGGGGGACCTAACCCCAGTACCTCTCTCTTCCCGGTCAGCGTGCTCTTTTAACTTATTTTTTTTAACCATCGCAGGACGCTACCCGGAGACACGGGGCCTCCGAGAGTCTCTGTGGGAATAGTGCTTTAAAAAAAAAAAAAAAAAAAAACTAACGGGAGAGAAAATCACTTTCTAAAGCCACTGTCTTCTGTTTTTCTAAAGCGCCTCCAGTGCAATACAGTCCTTTCTCGGGTGTCTTTTGGCCATTATCTCGCTTGATGTTCCCCATGCCACGGCCGCCGGCTCTGACGGGCCCGTGAGCGCAGGCACTGCCACTTTCGTGTGAATTGCGGGGCCGGAGTCCCCGGGTCGCAGTTTCCATTCAGGGCTTCGTCCTTTCCCCCACGTGGATGGAGCCGAAAATTTCACCTCCGGGTGGGAGAGCATTTTTCCCTAAAAATAGCCCCAAACGCCATTAAACCCTGTGGCTCTCATGGTGGAATCGTTCGAGGTGGTTCCATGGCGTTTTTTGTGTTGTGTTGGGTGTTTTTTTTTTCCTCCCTAGTTAAGCCAGACCTCGAAAGGGTGACATTTCTAATCGGCGCGCATTGGTGAATCTGGTGAACCTCCTAAGGTGCCGATGAGCCCTTACCCGCGGGGACCTTATTTCCTGGGTTGATAGGGCTGGCAGTGTGAAAACGCAGACGTGATAGCGCGTCCGTAACCACGCAGAAGCTTCCAGAAGCCGCAGGGACCTGGGATGAGGCCCTTGGAAGTGGGTGCCGCGCCTGACGGGTCATTTCGTTTCCAAAAAGCCTCTTCCAACTTCCCAGGATGGTTCCTGGCGCTTTGGGCAACGCCCGGTAACGCATCGTAACTCGTTTCTCATCAGAGGTTGGCTCGGGGAGGGACTGGCCTCGTCCGAGTCTCTGCTTCTACGTCCCCAAGTGGGGAGCTGTTTCCACAGCGAATTGGGGGCCTCCTGTGGCTTGTCCTTGGGGAAAAGGGTGCCTCGGGGGTCGCCGATGGGGGAGCCGTGAGCGTGTGGCCGGTTTTGTCACCACCCCAGGCCTGTAACTGCAGCCAGGTGGCCCGAAAGGGGTGATCTGTCCCTTTCCCCGTAAAAACCGCTCCGAAAAGTTCGCTTCCCTCGGGACATCGGGAGCCGAGCCGCCTGGTGGTTCTTTAACACCGAGGCCAGAGCCAGGAGCCACCCGCAGGCATCGGGGACATGGCACAGCCAGGAATGAACGGAACCTTATTTCTCCCTGTAAAATCCAGGCCCCCGGAGGCGAGGACGGGGGAGGGCGCGAAGGCCCCTGTCCGCCTACGTGGGTGTTAATTCAATCAGTTGAGTCTAAAATGATTCTGTTTCCCCAACCAGCCCAAGGTTTCCCCAAAGCAAGCCACTGAGTCCCCGCCAGGGGGTCCCAGGTAGAAAGACCGAGGCGAGTTCTTGGTTCCGTGTTGCTGCTTCGACTTCAGAAAAAAAATTATGCGAGCTCCTTGCGCGATTGAAAATTTCTATTTAATGAAGACGTGTCTAAGCCCCACTATTTATTGTTTGAGGTTTGATTTCTCCGGACATTTAAAAAGAATGTTTTATGTGGGGGTGTTTTTTTGGGGGGTAACAGGCTCCCAATCACATCAGCGTATTTCACAGTAACTAAAACTGTCTGGAGGTCAGGAATCCGTGGGATGGAGGGGTGAATGTGCAGGTCCGCATTGGAATCGGATTGTTCTAGAAGCGTCCTGGGGTCCCATGGTGAGGAGAGAGGAACGAGTCATTTCAGAAAGGAAAAAAAAAAAAATCAACCGATCGCTTTTCCCAGAATCTTGACGGAGATGTTCAGAATAGCGTCAGATTTGTCAGCGATCCTTCACGTTTCTTTTGAAATTTATGATTGCAGCCTCCGCGTAAACCTTTATAGAAAAACCTATCTGGCGAGTACACCAAAGAAACCAGCTCCTGAAAGATCATGATCAGCCATGAACTGCCAACCTCATCTGTTTTTGAAACCGAGTTTCCCCCCTCCCCCACCCCACCCCCCATGTAAATATTTGTGTTCATAAATGTACAGCAGAGCGAGAGTGGTTTTTTTGTTTTGTTTTTTATTTTAGATTATTTAATGCCCATCTTTCTAAACTATTGATGACAGAAATAATCCTCGCTTGTGCGTCGGGACGACGTCACCGTTTTGTTCTTTGAGTCATGTTATCGGTCACGCTCGGGACGTGTTTCCGAGAGAGAATCCAGTGTCCTGTGGCCGTGGCCAGGGTCCACGTGACACACGGGGGAGCGAGCGCCGTGTGTTAGGCTAAGCGACGAGAACGCCTGTGACCCCGGGGGATTCTAACCGCCCTGCCCAAGTGCTCAGCAGCCCAGGATATGACCGGGATGAGGCCCTCTGCCCCCAAATTGAGCTTTCATGTAACTCCTAGTGTGTTCTCTCATACTGTATTTTGTTCTTCCTTTGTAATGTAAGTTTGTTTTGCTTTGGGTCAGTTTGAATTAAAAAAAAACAAAACTTCAATCTGGTTTTAACACTTCCTGGAATTGTGTGTTATTTCTAGTCAGCCTTACGGTTTAATTAACATTTCCCAGCTCTTTCGTGAAAGGAAACAAAAATCTAACCTTCATCAATATTTTTTCTTTAAATGTTTTTTATTGATTTCAGAGGGAGAGAGAGAGAGAAACATCAGTGATGAGAGAGAATCATGGATTGGCTGCCTCCTGCGCGCCCCCTACTGGGGATCAATCCCGCAACCCGGGCATGTGCCCTGACCGAGAATCGAACCAGCAACCCTTCCGCCCACTGAGCCACACCGGCTAGGGACCAGATCATTGGGAATGGTGTCAGAATGTGATACAGAAAATAGAGCCATTTTAGATCCGATGAGGCGGTTCTGACCACCACCACCGCCGCCCTTTTTTATTTTATTTCTTTATTGCATTCTGCAAATACCAGCCAACACACGCCTATCGCATTCTTCAATGCGTTGCTCCAAACCCGAGCCTTTTGGGGGCCGGGCTCCCCGCTGCCTCGTGTCTGCCACACTTTGGGGACAGATGTTGGACCCCAGCCTTTCTAAGCCCAGAACAGTGATGCAGCGAGAACAACGAATCTGAGATAGTTTCTCAGGCTGCAGGAGACAAAAGCAAAAAAAAACAAAACACTTGTGTTTCACGCTTCCTCTGGATAACATCAGCCTGGCTCGCTCAGGAGAGCCCTGGGGCTGACGTGAGTGATGGCGTGCGGAGGACAGGGGAGGACGGGAGTTAGCGCTGGACGGAGCCGTTGGATGCTTTGCAACTGCAATCTGTCTGCAGGCTCGTCCAGGGCTTGGCCCGCGCGGAGGCCGGGAACGGGCCATCTGAAACTGGCCTCCTGAGCCGTGGGGGAGCTCAGCTGTGAGAAATCGCTGTGTTGCTTGGAACCCCGGAGGCGGTTGCTTTCCAACATGATGTAAGTGGGGTCCTGTTTTTGCAGCTGAAAGGCGGTTTGCAAAAAAGGGCTGAGCCGCTCTTGATAAAACAGATTATCTCCTTCATTAAAAAAAAAAACACACAAAAAAGACATTTCCGCATCTCACGGAGTTGGGCTCCTGAGACGAAAGGAAATGCATTTGTATCCTCTGCCTGTATTTATTTTTTTATCTTTTTTTTTTTCCCCAGAGAGGAAGGGAGAGAGAGAGAAACATCAATGATGAGAGGGAATCGTCAACCAGCTGCCTGCTGCACGCCCCACACTGGGGATCGAGTCTGCAAGCTGGGCATGTGCCCTGACTGGGAATCGAACCCGGGACCTTCTGTCCACAACACAGATATTGATGGTGAGAGTTTAGAGTACCTTTAAGTACCAAGAAAGATTTTAAATAGCCACTGCCAGGTATTGCTACGTCGGCCAGAGCTCATGCGGACTCCTGAGATAACAAAGGTGATTCATTTGTCTTTAGCATTATTCTGTCATGACAAGGATTCTTTCGTCTTAGATCATCGAAAGGAAGGGCCAGCCCTAGCCGGTGTGTCTCAGTGGATAGAACTTCGGCCCAAGGACTGAAGGGTCCCGGGTTCAATTCCGGTCAAGGACACGTATACCTCCGTTGCAGGCTCCTCCCAGGCCCAAGCCCTGGTCGCGTCTCGTGCAAGAGGCAACCCATCGATGTGTTTCTCTCACATCGATGTTTCTCTCTGTGTTTCCCTGTCTTCCACTCTCCCTAAAAATCAATGGGAAAATATCCTTGGGTGAGAATTAACCAAAAAAAACAAAAAAATGCGGAGGGTTCCTGCTCATGGGACGCTCACCTGCTGGGATGATCCCCACAGTGGGCGCTGCAGCGGCCCCAGCACGTCCGCGACGCACAGCCCCCAGCAGGTTGCCTCATCCTCGAGCCAGGCTGGCTCCCAAGGTAGGTACCTGCCCCCTCGCTGCCGCCTCCCCTGGGCCGCGCTCTGCGAGGAGATAAAAGGGCTGGAATACGGGCTCCGAGGCACATGGAAACCCTCTATTAGACTCGGATCCCCGCCATGCCTTTGAGAAGCCCGTAGAAGCACTTACTCACAAAGGCTGTGTAATTAAGGGGCTGGCTGGCTTCATGGAAATGCTTGATGTTTAGGAAATTATTAGGGAGTTGGGGGGCGGGCAGGACCTGACCTGAGATTAACTGATAGCATTCCCTCTCCATTGAATGATTTTTTTAAATTAAAAAGTGCCTTAGCCCGGCCGGCATGACTCAGTGGTTGAGCATCGACCTAGGAGCCAGGAGGTCACGGTTGGATTCCCGGTCAGGGCACATGCCCGGGTTGCGGGATTGATCCCCAGTAGTGGGCGTGCAGGAGGCAGCTGATCCATGATGCTCTCTCATCATTGATGTTTCTCTCCCTTCCTCTCTGAAATTTAAAAAAAAAAAATTTAAAAAGAAAAAAGATAGACTGACTCTCAGAAGCCATGTGTAAACGGCCCCCTAAGCCAGTGACGGCGAACCTTTTGAGCTCGGCATGTCAGCATTTTGAAAAACCCTAACTTAACTCTGGTGCCGTGTCACATAAAGAAATTTTTTTATCTTTGCAACCATAGTAAAACAAAGACTTATATTTTTGATATTTATTTTATATATTTAAATGCCATTTAACCAAAAAAATGAGTTCGCCTGTCACCTCTGACACGCGTGTCATAGGTTCGCCATCACGGCCCTAAGCTCTGTGAACCAAGAATGCAACGCTCCCGGCCACGTGACCAGCTGACTCCCCGTCCAGGCTTATGTCTCCAATTATCTTTTGCAATGACAACGACTACTTTCAGTTGGGCCGAGACAAAACCGGTGGCCTGTGTCCTGCTGTTACTGTCCTTCGGCCTCATTCAACAGCTGGTCCATCATGTGTCTGTCGAACTTAACATGACCGGCCTGGCCTGTGCGGAGGTGGGGAGAGAACCATGCTCGCTGCTCCGACTCACATGTGCCATGGAGCTGCCCAGGGACACAGACGGCCTGTGCCGCGTCCTGGCGATGGGAAGAGGCACCAGCAACGTCGGCCCAGGCGCTGGCGGCAGATGGGAGACACCTGGCCAGGTCGGGCAGCCCGCGGGACCCAGGGAACCAGCACCAACGAGTCTTCTCCCAGCCCCTGGATACAGCCTGGGCTTCTTGGGGGTAAGCACGCGTTACCCGCTTCAAGGAAAACAATAAACCAGCCGGGACATGGGTGTAGCTTTGCCTCAAGGGCTGTGGCTGGTCTGGGACTCACTCAGAGTCAGCAGCATGGAGTCAGCTCTGCTTGGGATCTGCTGAAAGCAAGAGAGAGGAAGGGAGAGGGGGAGAGAGAGAAACATCAATGAGAGAGAGCCATCCATCGGCTGCCTCCTGCACGCCCCCTCCTGGGGACCGAGCCTGCAAGCTGGGCATGTGCCCTGAAGTGGGAATCGAACCCATGACCTCCTGGTGCACAGTTTTGAAATAGGGGGCGGGGGGGTTGTTGTTGTTAATCCTCACTTGAGGATATTTGTTTTCCATTGGTTTTTAGAGAGAGTGGAAGGCAGGAATGGAGGGGGCGGGAGAGAGATGTAGAGAGAGAGATCAATTGGTTGCTTCTCACACACAACCCAGCCGGGGCCGGGGATCATACCTGCAACCCAGGTACATGCCCTTGACCGGGAATCGAGCCTCAACCCTTCGGTGCATGGGACTGTGCTCTAACCACCAAGCATCACCAGCCGGGGCAGAACCAGTTTGATTTAGGTATCACTGTTACACGAACAACTGCACGTACAGGATGTGTATAATTTGATGGGCTTGATCGTTCCCATTGGAGAGTGGAAAAATAGATAACTTGAAGAACAGGGAATGCCCAAAACTTTCTCTCCCTCTCCTTGCCTCTGTGAAATCAAAAAAATACAGTGGGGCCTTGACTTACGAGTGTCCCAACTAATGAGTTTTTCGAGATACGAGCCGTCTCTCGGCCGATTTTTTGCTTTGAGTTGTGAGCTAAAATTCGGGTTATGAGCCAGCTTCAGATACCCCACCGCTAGTTGGCGCAGCGAACGTCACAGTGAACGCCACAACATCAGCCCAGCATCACTCGTTCACTTTTGATTTGACATACGAGTAATTTGAGTTACGAGCTCCGTCACGGAACGAATTAAACTTGTAAGTCAAGGCCCCACTGTATATATATATTTTTTCAATGTCTGTCTCTATGCAAGGCCACAATCCGGGCCTGTGCCCTGACCTGGGAATCGAACCATGACCTCCTGGTTCCTGGGTCTACGTCCAACCACTGAGCCACACTGGCCGGGCTGTGGAAATGCCTTTGTGACACAAATGGTGTCAAGGAGCAGTGGAGGGCGGTCATGTTCAGTTCCACAGACCTATTGTGTACCCCGGTGTGGGGCGTGCAGGAGGCGGCCGGTCCATGATTCTCTGTCATCACTTATGTTTCTCTCTCTCTCTCCCTCTCCCTTCCTCTCTGCAATCAATAAAAAATATATTTAAAAATGCATTTTTTTTGAAAGCTATAGGGAAGACAGGAGGGAAAAGAGCAGGCCTCTGGGGCAACAGGAGAGGGGGCTCCGCTGGGCTTGTTGGTTAATAGACTCCCCACCCCGCCCCAAGGAGCCCTTATTACAGAGGCTTATGATTCGAGGTGGTTTATGAAAAGCCTGGGGTCCCTGCTCCGGGGTCTGCCCTGCCCTGGCCCAGGGTTTGGCCCCCGTAAAACCCGCTTTGTCCGAGTGCAGCGGCCGTGAGAAATGGGCTTAAGCCTCCGCAATCACTTCTCCCAATTACTCGGGGCGGCCTGGCGACCAAAGTTAATACCAGGGAGGAATTTGAAAGCCTCCTCGTTTTCCTTGTCTAATGACATTAAAAACTTGAAAGGTGATTCACACGTTGGTTTCTGTCCCCCTCCCTCCCCCTCCTACCCCCCACCCCCCATTAATCAGTTGCAAATTATAGGGTCTTTCAGGACGGGCCATGTGGTCCCCTGCTCGGCCCCTGGGGTCAGGAGCCCACCCCTGCACGCTCTCCAACCCCATCCCACCCACCCAC